TCCATGAATAGTGAGTCACATCCAAACTTATCTTCAATTTTCCATCTTACCTTTTGTTCATCCTTGCAGTATGATTTGCCTAGATAATGCATACAGAACTTTGCTCTCCATCCACTGTGCCAGCCATCTAGGGAAAAGCTCCAGTGGGAAAGTATTGACTGCAGATGCATCATCCATGGTTATCCAGAAAGAATTATTGGCTGAGTTGGCTATTGATTTTCTAATAATTTCTAGCCCTCCCCCATCTTTGTGTCACCAGAGAGGCAGATCACAAATTGGACTTCAGCTGAATTGCTGCAGGATTGATTAAAACTCATGGTAATTATTGCTTTGCTGCTGCTCAAGCCAGGCTGATCAATGTTAGCAATAACTGATAAGATTCTTCAGGTGATCTCAGGAAAATGGGCATGGAGGCCATTCCCTCAGCACCAGCTGAAGAGCAGGCCTGCAACAACAGCCTGTGCTTGACCGCAGTTGGCCGGGTTCAAACAAGTCATGCTGGTTGTTGTTGCTTTAGCATTGTTGCTCTGTCATCTTGTCTGAACCTGGTGGTGGTTCTTCACCATGGATGGTATGTTTGCTCTTCAGAAATCATGGTAAGAAACAATGGTTTTCTCTATGGCATCTCTGTACCAGCATGGCTTGTTGTGTTGTCTGAACCCAGGATTGTGGTGTCCAGCAATTACCACAGAATCTTCTGGAAAAAGCGGCAACAGCAGGAGCCATTCCTGCCATCCAGACTCTGTGTGTGACCCAGTGAGGAAGGCACAGGTGACACAGGCAAGCAGTGATGAGCCTCAGGACTGAATTTTCGGCAAGGTAGCTGACAGGATACATGCCACCAGGGGGAGGACTGAGCAGGGAAGATGAAAACCACAGTGAAGTAGAGATCACTTGATTGTCTGTAGGGTAGATCATGGGGGAGCGGGGAGCACGGAACGCGGTAATCGTGCAGAGTTGCCTGTCGTGTTGCATGAATTCAGCCATTGGTACTGGCTAGCAAAATGTTTCCAAGAAAAGAGTAGTTAAAATGAGAGCCTTAACAACCAAGGACATAGAAGTATGCGCACATGCTGTGCATAGATATTTCCCACAATGCTTTAGGATAGTCTTCCCCACCCTGGTACACTCTGCATGCTGTTGACTGCATCTCCCGTGCTACTTGACCATGGACCATGCTGGCTTGGGCTGATGGAAGCTGAAGACCAAAAAACCTGGAGGTTTAGAAGACAAGTGACTTTTCCAATGCAATTTAGTGTACTTTTTGGCCTTGGGGCCAACATGTTGATGGAAGTATCTGTATGACAGGTGAGGTGGGAAGATCTGGATAGTTTGGTAAGCCCTGAAGGATGTATATTACGGATCAGTATCAAGGAAAGACAACATTTAGCAGGAGAATGAAGAAGAACTACTCTGGTGTTCAGTTCCAAGAGTTTAAGAGCCAAATAGTGTCACTAGGAAATGAGGGAAGCTTTGGTTTTGTCAAAGCAACTCTATGGGTTGGAAAACACCACAGAAATCAAAGGCAAGCAAAGAAGGGAACAACACATGAAAAAGAAAAGACGAAGGAGGCAAGACAACACTGGGCCGGTGAGAAGTAGTCCGGTTGGTGGCTGAGAATGTTGTTTTGTGGGGAGCAGGAATGGACTGGTGTGTCCTGTGAGAAGGGTTGTCTTGAAGCTTGAAGTGAAGAGAATCCCTCCACATGTCCATGTTTCACTGCAGAGTGTGCTTCGGATACCATTCAGGTCACTAGAGGGACCCAAGCCCTCTCCTTGAGTCAAGTGACTGGCTGTTGAGCTGGAAAAGAGCATCAGTAGAAGACCCTCCAGGCTGGATCAGACCCATGGTCCAGCATTTTGGTCACACAGAAGCCAGTGAGATGCCCTCAAGGTCCCTCAAGCAGGGTATGAGTGCGGTGGTGCCTTCCTGCCCATGTTCCCCAGCGACTGGTGTGTGTAGGCATGCTGCTTCTGATACTGGACATAGCATCTAGCCATCAGAACCAGTAGCTCTTGATAGCGGCCACCACCATGAATTTCTCCTATCCATTTATATAGCCCTCCACTGGTGGTTGTCACTTCATCTTCTGGAGGTGACTTCCATAGTTAAACTACGCGACATGTGAAGAAGTCCTCCCTGTGGTCTGTCCTGACTCTCCTGCCAGTCAACTTCATGGCATGACCCCGGGCTCTAGTATTGTGGGAGGAGGAGGAAAAGAAGCCCCCCCCTTTCTACGTTGTCCACTCCACACCAATATTGTGACCTTGTATGAGTATAGAATGGTGGTGGACCACGAGAAGTTGAACCACCAAGTGAGACATTGTTGGTGGAGTCACACAGTGAAGAAGCTCCATACAATTGCTCCCCCCACCCCCCCGGCCACCCAGCCCCAACCCATTCACTGCCAGGAGTGTCTGCTGATAAATTTTCACCCTGGTTACAGAGCCCCTGCCATTTGGCAGACGCCCCGAAGCTTTTTGGCACACACAGTCCCTAGAGCTGACATGATTAACTGCTTACAATTAAAGACCAAGCACTTGGAATTGTAAAATAGTTTTCAGATATTAAGTTAATCATGATGATACAGGTTTATTTAACCAATAAATATATTACCATGGTCCTTGAATTTCTGCCAGTAGTCCTCCTCCTGCCCAACTCTGGCTTACATGTATGATGGGATTGGTTGGTTTCCCAGTTCCTTTCCACTCCTCCCCTTCAGAATTTGTAGGGCTGAAGTGGAGAGCTGATGAAGTTGCAGGTAGCACTGAGCAAAAGACAAATAATATCTTCTGTGAAAAAGGGATTCCTGAATTTGCTTTGAGTGGACCTGGAGTGAACCCATGGGGGTCATAGTTTTGCTTCATTCCACCCACCTCGTGTTTCAACCTTCTCATTGGTCCTTCTACTAACAGTTTAGGAAGAACATTGGTTGCCCTCCCGCCTTAGAGATGGATCTTTCCTTTTCCAGAGGAGAGAGATCATGCCCCTAATGTTTCAGGGAACATCTCATCTCAAAAGCACTGTCTTTAAATACTTTTCTCAGAGCAGCCTAGCTGAAATTGAGAGACATATGAATGTGAGAAAGCCCTGATGGATCAGATCAGAGGTCCATCCAGTTCAGCACTCCGTGCACCGAGTGGCAAACCAGCTGTCCAAAGGATCCCTCCAGCAGGAGGGGAGCAAGATACCCCCCTGCACAAGCTCCCCAGCAATTGGTGTAGTGGAGACAGGAATGTCTGTCTTAAATCATGAGCACTCATAAAACCTGCAGGAGGTTGGAATGCTTCTTCTGAAAAAGCTGCCTGCAACATATGCTTTCCCCCTCTTCCCTTCACAGTGCTCTTTTAATCACATGCCAAATTATGCATCTTCCACCAAGATGAACATTCAGGAAAGATTGTGAGTGATGATGCTAATAAAAACTGGTCGTGTTACGAAGTCTTCATTGGATGTTTCATCTCTACCTCTGGGATGCCTTCAATCGTACAAAGAGAAGACACTAGCTAAAATGCTAGGAGAGATGGCCATACTGCAGGGAGAGGACTTGGACTATCGGGCAGCCAATCAGTTTAGGACTGAGCCAAGACTGGCCCTATTCAGGTGCTTACATGCCCACCCTCCCCGCAAACAATGGAAGATGCATAAGCAAGAGAAGGAGAGTGTACTTCTGAGCTCGATCTTTTTGTAGACACTACTTCTGTCCTGTCCAAAGCCTTTCTTGACATTACTGCTCTTTGCACCTCTGCTGCAGAGAGCTTCTCTTTCATGTGTACCATCTTAAGATCCCGGTCTTCCAAGATTCCCATCACGTGGAATGCAACATGCTCCCTTCTTGTGAATAAAACACACGCTCCAGCATCGGGGGGAGTGCAGCCTCGACGTGCCTGCAGCATCCTCACACTGCTTGTGTAAGACAGGCAAGGGGACTTAAGCATGGGTGGAGATGCTTCAGGCGGTAGTTCAAGACATCTCCAGGGCACCAGGTTGGGGAAGGCTCTGCAGTGTAGTGGTTTCCTTTCCACCCCCCAGCCCAATCTTTAAAAGAAAAAAAACAGCAGTTTTATAACCTTGCCTTCATTTGACAGAGCCGTTTATAACCCCATTTCATGCACCTCTGTGCTGGTTGAAGTTTAGCTCATCTTCTGGAATGCCATAATGCATTTTTAATTGGAAGCTGGTATTGGACGACATTTATTATCTTCCCCTTGCCCTCCAAAGGAACAGTGTTTTGCTCTTGATTTTGTTCTTATTTCTCTCTCTCTGTCTCTTATACTTGAAAGAAAATGAATAAGGGCAGAATCAGAGTGCTGTTTAATAAGGGTGACTATTGATTGATGTTGCCGGATGCTTGCCTGCTTTAATCATTTGGGACAGACAGAGCTTGCCGGGAAACTGAAATTAAAAAGTCTGATCAGAATTCCAGCTGGGCAAAATTAGTTTGGAACACTTGTGATCACCAGGAGAAGAGACCTCCAGCTGGAAAATAATGGCACAGGTCCTTTGCCTCGTAGCTCCCTTCTTTCTGACCCATCGCTGCAGGTATCAATAAAAGCTCCACAGAACATGGACAGGTAATATGGTGTCCAGGAGCAGGGGAGCTGAGCCCTGGATCCATTCCCAGATTCCTGAGTGCCCATTCATGCCAATGGAAAGGTTTCCCGGCTCCACTTAATTGCCCGATTGCAGCCGAGCACTCTTTCCTGCACCCCAAAAATGTTTCCCTTGCGTGAATTTTATTGGTGAGTATTTGGATGAGAACACCCACAACAACAGCCCTGTGAGGAAGGCAGGATGGAGAGTCTGTGCCTGGCCCCAAGTCACCCAGTTGGCTCCATGGCTGAGCAGGGAATGAACCCCAGATTGCCTGAGTCCCAGTCCCATTTTCTTAAGCACTACACCTCACTGGGAGCAGAAGCTCAGTGTCATAAACAGGTGTCCAGCTTGGAGATACACACACCATAATGGAGATGCCCTCCCCTCCCCTCTTCTCATTGCAGTGTCCCGAGAACTTGAGGCCCATGAAGGATGGCACTGGCTGCTACGACTATTCCAAAGGCATCGACTGCTCGGATGGCTTCAACGGTGGCTGTGAGCAGCTGTGCCTCCAGCAGACCCTCCCTCTCCCAGCCGACCCAACGTCCAGCACCATCCACATGTTCTGCGGGTGAGTCTCCCAGGCCTTGCCTCCAGCACAGGCCCCTGCATTGAATGGGCTGTGACTGCTGAAGACCGTGGTGGGCTCTCGAAGCCATGGATCTAGCCTGAAACACAATCTCGGGTTCTCATGGCCAGGTGCAGACACTCGGCCCGTTCTGGTGATGTTCTCTGTGCTCTCATCCTGGCTGATGCATACAAGCTCAGTTGCCTTTAAAAAGTTAAAGAGGGTAGCGCTGGGGCATTGCAACCCCATGCATACAAAGTGGGTGAAGAGGTGCTCCATCAAGGACTGTGCTTCTCGGATGTGCCACCTCCCTTCCATTAATCAGGGGTGTGAAGCGACAAAACTCTGGCTTGCTCCATGCATTTGCTGGCTTTGTTCTAAAGCAGTTGTAGAGCAAGGCTTTAAACCTGAGACCTGATGACCTCTGCCCTTTGTGGATAACTGCAGATATGAAGAACACAGCAGGGATTCCCCTTCTGTCCCCATCCCCAGAAGGAATCCACTGGCTTGATGCTCTCTATGTATGTTTCCCAAGCTCAGTCTTTTAAGGTTAGACAGACAGGAGTTGAACACCATATGGAAAAAGGAAAAACCATTTCTGGAAACATTTAGTACTGTCTACTTAATTTGGAATGGGTCACCTTGAAGGGAGGCCTACAAGCAACCCAACTGGCATATCCGCCACCCATCATGTCTTCTGTGTGGCACTTCTTTGCTCCATCTGGAACTTGTCACTTTCACATCCCCCTGTTCTTCATGCATTGCTGCCCTGACGACACGCCAGCAACTCAGGGTCTGGTACAGCTTTGGGACCATGTATGCTTTAGATGCAGCTTAACTCTGGCCTGTCTTTCCTGTGAATTCCTAGCTTTGTCCAGCACTTTGGACTTAGACTTCTCATCTTGTCCTTATGGCATCCTATATACTGGGTCAAGGGTCACATTTCCTCAGGGAAAGGTAGAATAGATCCTCAGACAAGGCGTGATGGTTGGGACTTGTGGGAAACTGCTCTGTAAAGAAATGCTTATATTCTGTTATATCTCCATACTTCATGAGATCGCTGTGGACCTATTATGTAGCTGGGTAGGCCAGAAGCTCAGCTTTCCTAGGGTCCATGGGGCCTTTAACAGTTATGGTCTATTGGGCTCACAGCTTCAATCTCGGTGGATTCACTTGTCAGTCTGAATTTTGAAGGAGCCACCGGTTCTTTGGATCTCATTGTGGAGGTAGAATTCAGGACCATAGACAGCTCCTTGACCATTTGAACTCAAGCCCACAGTCCCACTCACAGGCTCCATTGGCTGGGGGTGACTGGGTTAGAATGGCCTATGATGGGATGCCTTAGGGAGTCCAAAAGATTTAGAGGGAGAAGCAGCCTTTTTTTTTTTTTTTTGATGGACTGTGTAGCTCAACAGACGATTCACAGTAGGGAATTCATGGGAAAGCTGACCGCCAGGTTTTTTTAAAGGGCTACTTAGTGGAATTCTGAGCAGTATAGAAACATAGAAACAGAGCTAGTCAGAAGGGGTCTCCTGGGCCATCTAGTCCGACCCCCCTGGCTTCAGCTGGCTCTGCTCACAACATGCCCACCATGTGCATGTCTAGCCTACCCTTGAACACCTTCACCAATAGGACCTCACCGTGTATGACCAGCCATTCCTTAAGTCCAGAAATTTAAAGCTTACCAGAAGAGAGGGAGGGAGGGAGAGATCCCATCAATGGGATTGCTTTCCCTCATATGTAGTTGCAGTGGTGGAATCACCCTGCATCGTGACAGGTGAAATTCAGACAAAAGCTAGTGTGAGCCACCCCATTCACTTTCTCCCCATTTCTCTCTCTGCTCCCTTTATCCCCCATTCATTATATTTCCCATTGATTCCACTCTTCTCCCCGCCTCCCTCTCTCTGTGCGTCTCACTCACACAGAAACTCCCATTCGCACACATTTCCCAATCTCAGCACAAAGGGACGGTCAGGCTTAAAGGTCTCCTTCCTCTCACCCTTGCTGTCCCTTTGCTGGACCCACCGGCTGAGCAAGAGGGCAGCTCTGTAATTCACACCTGGTGCACGGGCTGCTCCGGGTCCCATGTATTCCCACGAGCCTGTCCAAAGCTCTTAGGCTGGCTCTGAGGAACCCAGTAATGCCAGAGAGGAGGCATTTTCCTTCCAGCCCACCAAAGTCATTCAGCACTTGTGTTCCCCTTATTTTATTGTTTCTGCAGGCAGAGGAGTCCTGGGCAACCTTTGCCTCTCTTCCCTCTGATGCTAAATCCCTCCTCCCCATCCACCAAGATGTCTTTGTTTCGTTGCCTTGCAGCAGCTGCTATTGTCTCAACGCCATCTTGACCTTCAGAGGAACGAAGTGCAGATTTGTGCAGTGGAGAAACAAATATCTAAAAGTAACTCCGAGGAACATCTGTCAGTTCCTGACACATCCAGGTGCTCAGACAGCAAAGATTTTGCTGCTTTCTGGCCCTTCATGGTTCCCTGAGGCTTTGGGCTCATCAGCTTCTCTTCATGTGTGTTGCTTTATTGCTCAGAATAGTGAAGAATAGGTAAAGTGGAAACGGCATCCCGTGGGAGTTTGGACCCCTCACCAAAGGGCGTGGAAGCAGCCAAGGCAGAACAGCCCTGTCCTCCAACCCAGCAAGGACGCTGAGATAGATTCCACATAGATTCAGTGCTGTGTTTTTTGGTGGAACATTTTTTAATCCTCGGAAGAACTTCCAGATTGAGTCAATTCATTACTCATGCAGATGACTGGTGTGTCTTTAATGTGAAGGCAGTAGCACCAAGAAATCTCTCACCTCCAAGAGCCGTATGTGAGTACATATGAGCACCATCACATAGGGCAGAGATGGACAAAGTGCAGATGCTGGACCTTCAGCTCCCGTGAGGTCCACCTTTACACCTTTGCCTTTCATCCCAGCATTCTAAAATTCATCCTGAAAGATTACGTCTCAGGCTGGCCAATTGGCCCCTTATTGGTGGTCTCGCTCTCTTGGAGGGCGTGTGCTCCACTCTGAAGATCCCTTCTCTTGGGGGTAATGGTGCTGCGATATTTATGATCACCTACTTGATGGAAATACCATGGATGTCTTAATGTGTTTTCTGCAGTTGTTACTGGTTGACTTTTTCTTCATAGGGCAGAACTGATCGCCATTTTTGCCCAACCCCTTCTCAACATGGACCTTTACCTGCTTCTAAGTCACAAACAACCTCCTGACCATTTCCCTATCTTCCAGGCCTCCTCAGACTGGTTCAGCAGTTCCACGTATCTGAGGAACACTCTTTCCCAGGCCACTATGGTGGTCTTCCAGCCTTGACTTAAAGAGTAGTTGCACACCTATAGCTTTCCCAGACAGCCTTTGCTAACATGACCAGTAAAGCTGGGAATCGAGGTCCAAAGCATCTGGAGATCTACTTCCTGTGCCACTGATGCTCACTCTTGAACATTCTAGTAGCAGCTCAATTTCTACATCAATGCTGTGACTCTGGGGGTCTTTTTCAGGATAATGGTTGGTTCTGCTGAACAGCCTCTCCTCTCCTCTCCCCCCCTCGCTTTTTTCCCTCAGGAGTGCAGGCAAGTTTGTCTTTAGCAGCGCAAACAAGAAACGTGGCACTGTAAAGACAGGCACATCCACCCTGGCATACACCACCACCCCACACATGCTCTTCTGTGCTGCTTCCTTTATCCATAGGGTCAGGCGCAGATCGAATCTGATATTTCTGCAGAGCTGCCCTGTTTAACCGTCGCCTTCCTCGAAATGATATGACACAACTAAGTGAAGCTGGAGGTGACTTTTATCAGCTGCTTGTTCAGAGTCCCTGAGGTGTCCCTGCTTCTTTCATTTCTAGGTGCGTGGAGGAGTACAAGCTGGCCGCAGATGGGAAATCCTGCCTCATGTTGTCGGACATCTGCGAGGGCCCCAAGTGCCTCAAAGCAGACGTGAAATTCAACGACACCCTCTTTGGGGAGATGCTGCGTGGCTACAACAACAGGACTCAGCACGTCAACCAAGGGCAGGTCTTCCAGATGACCTTCAGGTATGTTCTTTCCCCACCAGCCTTTGCTGTAGGCCAGACAGAAAGGCACACGTGAAAGGATATGTAGACAAATCCATGTGCGCCCCTGCCATGTGTGTGCAAAGGATGTTGGGAAGCCCCAGTACTGCAAAGTAGCCAAGATTCTGTATTTGGAATACGATTTGTCTGGAATTGCAAGAGGCCATAGACTGAGATTATGCTGCCACAGAGGTTGGGGCGGTGTGCGTCGGTCTGTCTTCACACAAGCCAGGGTGTGTTTCTACCACAAGCACTATAAATTGGATAAGTTGGGGCAAGGTGGAAGTCCTGCAATCATGAGCTTCGAAACTCTATTTCTTGTAAAAGGGTATCATTCGAGCCAATCATGTGAAACTTGGGAATCTGTGATTAACTGTAATGGTGCAAAATTTTAGTCCTCCGTTGGTACTCCGGAAAAGTGTCCTCGCCACCAGCCCAGATGGATGGCTATTGGCAGACAGAGCCAATCCCAAAGACGTTAGGGAAGGCTTTGTGTGTATCCGCATTAATGTGTGGCCCGTTTGTGTGTGAGTGCTACCAACTCTGACTTTTCTGACTTTGCTCATTTTCTCTTTGCTCTCTCTCTGTATCTCTCTCTTTCTCCCCTTCACCTTGCAACTGGAGCAATTACTCCATCCATTTGCAGAGAGTGAGAAAAAGTCCCCCGGTTAAAAATCCGCTGCAGGTGAAGCGATTTTCAGTCCTGGCAAAGACCGTGTTGTTACCACATTGTCCGCATGCATTCTGTGGCAGGGGTTCCTCCTGGCTGTGTGTTCCCTCCTTCGCCAGAGGTGCCGGGCCTGCATGCACCGGTTGCCAAGGAGCTTGGGCAGGAAGAGGTCCTGAACCGATCCTGCTTGAGGGATGCTGTGAGCAGCTGGTTTGCCATCGTGTGTACAGAGTACTGGACTGAACGGACCTTTGGGTCAATCCAGCAGGGCTTTTGTGATGCTCTTACTGGGTGTAATGGATCTTCTCACTTCCCGTGAATTAGTCAATGACGGGATGGGATGGGATCAGAGCGGAGTGAGTTGAGTTGAATCAGGTTGAATTGAATCGAATTGAATCAGATCAGCAGCCTTTGCCAAAATTAGAAGGAAGGAAAAGCCCCCTTTCCACCACAGTACTCCATGGGTTCTTGGTGGGAGGCGTGCGTGTTCACCCTCTCGCCATTTCTCAGCCAGGAGACCATTTTCCGCTTGCACCAATGAATGGAGGAGCCACTCCAGTCATTTGCAGAGGGGAAACAGCATGTTGAGTATCTCAGCTTGACCATTCAGACTCAACGGTACCCATGGGTGCTGTGTCGGGGACCCCGGCGAGAAGCGTTGCCACAGGTGAGCAGGTGAACCATGCTACAAAAGGACACATGTGCCCGTACTGACTTGTCGAGGAGGCATGGCTTGGTGGCGCTCTAAGCAGGGGCTCAAAAGCTGCCCAGGGTTTTATTTTCTGGGAAATCCCGCGGCCGCTCCTGCTGGCAAGAGGAGGGCATGCATCTCAGTTCAGTTCTGAAGCTGGATTGTTGCCCGTCCTTTTTTGCAAATGATAACGTTGATGCGGAAACCTGGTGGATTCTGTCTGCCATTCCTTCAAGCATGGAATGTGGCCTTGCCAAATCAGGTTGCCAGTTACTACACAGACCAGAATTTGGGCAAGGGGTTGGCGTTTGGAGGGCTTTCTCTCCCTCACATCTCCAATTTATATTGCCATAAAAACATTCATTTGTAAGATTAATTGCAGGCAATTAATTGGCACTTTCCTCCCACACTTGGGTCTGAATCTATGTTTGTTGCCATGCTCTTCAGTTTTGAGCAGGAAGAAAACACAGAGGGAAAACAGGCAGGTGCATCTTTAAAAGTCGCATGTAATTTAATCTTGAGCAAACTGGGGAGAGGGACAAATATCGAATGCGCAGATGGGGGACTCAGAAGGGTAGGAGCGGCATTCTGCCTTTTCAGGCACAGAAATGCAGTGCAAGGCTCTTTATCCTTTAGGTGCCTCCCCATATGGTAAGTATAGGCCACTTGGGGGGGCTGGGGCAGAAGGACTGGGTGAGGACCCCAATCTTGCAAGCCCTTTTCGTGTGGTAAGAAAAGGACACACAAGGGACATGGCTCATAGAATCATAGAACAGCAGAGTATGAAAGGGCCATGAAGGCCATCCAGTCCAACCCCTGCTGTTGCAGGACACCAAGTCACACCATCCCACTCAGAGGGCTGCCCAGTTTCTTCTTGAATGTCCCCAGTGTGGGAGAGCCCCCCACCTCTCCAGGCAGCTGGTCCCACTGCAGTATTGCTCTGACAGTGAGGACGCTTGTCCTGATGTCCAGCCTGAACCTGGGTTGTCACAACTTGACTTGATTCTTCCATGTCCTGCACTCTGGCATCAGCAAGGAGAGATCTTGACCTTCCTCTTTGGGACAGCCTTTGAGGTACTTATAGAGGGACATCATGTCTCCCCTCACTCCTCTCTTTGCAAGGCCGAACATGCCCCAGTTCTCTCACTCTCTCTTCGTAGTGTTTTTGCAAACTCTGGACCATTTTTGTTGCCCTGCTCTGGACCCCTTCTATTTTTTCTGCATCCGCAATAGGAATTACTTTAGCAATCAAGTTGCCACCTTTGCCCTGCTCGCCTTCAAACTCAGAAAGAAATTTTTTAAACTCTCAGTTGTAGCATTGACTCTTATTTTGTTGTAACCTTTTTATGTATGCTTTTTTATTATTTTATTTCATAATTTTACTATATCATTGTTTTACCATTACTATTTCACGGTATTTTATGGCACCTTTATGTTATGACTAACGGTTAAAAAAGAAACTTATTTACTTAGTACTTACTTACTATTCCTCTGGATCCCTTCTAATATTTCTGCATCAATGTTTAGGATTCCTTTAGGGGTATTTGAAGGGTTCACGCCTGAGGTCATTTTCATCAGGCATATACAATGGGGTAGGAATTACCCCACTGACTGCTCCCTGCCTTGCTGTTCTTGCTGTTCTTGTTACTTGCTGTACCTGGTGGGCAGCTGCCTGCAAACAGCTTTCTGTATCTATTTGTTCAAACTTTCTCTGGGATGGTAAGACCCTGATACTTGACGTGAGCTGAGTGTCCCCACTATGTTCCTTCCATCTGCATGTTGCCAGTGTGGGAGGGGTAGTAGGAAGCGCTGAGATAGTTTGTTTATTTATTTAAAGCTTTCATAAACCATCCCTAGACTAGTGTCTCAGGACAGTTTACAACCCACAACGAGTAAAATAGAAACGAAAAATTAAAAATAGTTCTGAGAGCTGAAATGCTCGTTCTGCTGGACACATAGATTGGGGATGGAGGAAAGAGAAACAAGTATGCTGTACTTGCATCCTCAGAAGTAAGCTGGTCTGAACACAGCTGTGACATCTTTGCATTATATTTTGGGTTTGTTGGCTTTTCCAAAACACTGTGATAATAAATGCCCTTTTTTCAAAAAGCTAGGGAAATTCAATTTGCAACAGGCCTGCCAGACTTAGACCAGCGTTAAGGCTCTCTCATGTTGGTTCATGCTCCACAAAGCCAGGAAATTGGAAGTTAAGGCCGCTCCCTTAACAGACGTGCTTTGTGATCAGTAATTACGTTGCACCATGCCACAAATTGTACTCACTTACAAGCAACGGACGGACACAGTTCAACTCACAAGAGGATTTCTCCCGCAATCGGCACTGCTCCTGTGTTCCTTAAGGCCAATGGGTTATTTTTGCTGCTTGTAGGTCTCCCCTCCTTCCCACCTGGATTAGGGCCTGAGTGGAAAATTGTACATGCAAGGAGTTGTAAGTAGTCATCCTTTGTGACACCGCACCCCGTAATTACTGATCACAGAGTATCTTTATGATGTGTTTATTAGTAACTTTTATATACCACCATATCTGTTAAAAGCCATTAAGTCAGTGTAGAACTATTCAAAACTGTAAAAACCTGCAACAGCAAAAAAGGAGGAAGTTAAAAAGCGGACACTTTAAAAGGCTACGTCGAGAGGATGTGTCTTTGCATCCTTTCCAAAGGCCAGGATAATGGGAACTGCCAAGTGTCATTTCATTATCTGGAGAAGAACCAGGAGAAAGCCCTTCCTGGGGTGCCCGACAAGCAGGCCCCTGTGGGCAAGGATGCCCCCAGAAAAAACCCTCCTGCAGACCTTAATACTTGGGCAGGTTTAGACCGAGGCAGGCAGTCCCTGAGACAGCAAAGTTATCGACCATTTTAGGCTTCAGCGATTAGGTTATGTTATGTTCAGTTGCAAAGTCATGCCCAACTCTTTGCAACCCCCTGGACAATATTCCTCCAGGTTCTCCTGTCCTCCAGAATCCCCTGGAGTCCACCCAAGCCCACACCCTCCGTCCCAGTGACCCCATCCAGCCACCTCATCCTCTGCCGTCCCCTTCTCCTTTTGCCTTCAATCGTTCCCAGCATCAGGGTCTTCTCCAGGGAGTCCCTCCTTCTCACTACGTAGCCAAAGTATTTGAGCTTCAGCTTTAGTACCTGACCTTCTAAAGAACAGTCTGGGTTGATTTCACATTTTAAATTGAGCCTCAAATGCAACTGGCTGCAGGGTTTTCAAGGCCAGTTTAATATGGTCCTGAGGCTGAACACCGTATAATCTTCAGACATGATTTAGGGTAGCCCCGCAGAGAGAATATTACAACAGTCTCGATGCAGAGCATAATTAAGCTATGGAAAGTTGCTGTCAACTCATAGTGAATCAGGAAGGGCTGTGTCTGGTGCATAACCGTGCAAGCACTTCTTGTCATCACCACTAGTTGAACATCCAGAGACAGTGTCAGCTCAAGAAGCACACCCAGGCTCCAGACCCCACCCTTCAGGTGGAGTACAGCCCCTTCCAGAGCAGGTTAAATTCCAGACCCTAAGTCATGCCTTCTGCAGACCAGTATCTCCAACTTGTCTGAATTGTTCACTTTGGTGTTGTTGTTGAGTTAGATGCTGTTACCGG